AAATTATCAGTTCCATATTCATGTCAGGTTTCTGGATGAGAGAAATATTTAGATATAGCAATTTGTAAAGAACCGCTGATTTGTTTCTCAAGTTATGATAGAAAAATCTTGAGTTATCAAATATATTTGTATGTATGCAATTTGAAAAGAATTGGATGCCTGTTTCGCTTTCTTTGAGCGTTTTGTTTTTTAAAATCTTGTATCCTATGTGATCTCTACCATCTCTATAATACATCTAGTGTTGATGGAAATATTGAGTTATACCAAGTCTGAATGGAATCGGATGTTAATTTCACGTTTTATGGGCATCACGTTAATTAAAAATTTTGACCCATTGTGGGGGAGGTACCAGAAGGAGTGCACCGATATATCCCATAGCCACAGCAAATCTTGTGTTAGTATAAATAATTGGATGTGTGAAATATGAAGAGAACTGGATGTTTATTTCGGATTCTATAATCGTTTAGACCATTTAAAATATTGACCATTTGTGGGGGAGGAACCAGAAGAAGTGTTCCGATTTCTATCATCTTTATAACAGATTTTGTGTTGATAGAAATATTGATATGTGCCAAGTCTGAATGGAATCCGATTTTAATTTTGCGTTTTATGACCTTCATGGATATTCAAAATGTTAACCCTTTGTGGGGAGGTACTAGAAGGAGTCTACTCATCTTCAGAGCAGATCTTGTGTTAGTAGACGTAATGGGATGTGTGAAATATGAAAAAAAAACCGGATGCTTATTTCGGTTTTTATAATCGTTTTGGTTATTCAAAACTTTGAGCCTTTGTGGGCGAGGTACCAAAAGGAATGGTCTGACCTCTACCGTTTTTATAATATATCTTGCGTTGATGGAAATATTGACTTGTACCAAATCTGAATGGAATCGAATGTTAATTTCACGTTTTATGAGTTTCATCGCTATTCAAAATTTTGACCCATTGTGGGGGAGGTACTAGAAGGAGTGGACCGATATGTCCCATATACACAGCAGATGTTGTGTTAGTAGAAATAATGAAATGTGTAAAATATTAAGTGGTCCGGATGCTTATTTCGGATTTTATGATAGTTTTGGCTATTCACAATATTTTGGAGGAGGTACTAGAAGAAATGGTCCGATTTCCATCATCTTTTCAATTGATTCCATCTTCTGTTGATAAAAATATTAACATGTGGCAAGTCTGAATGGAATGGGTTTTTGTGGGGGAAGTACTAGAAGGATTGGGCCGATATATTTCATTTTCACACCAGGGGTTAATAAAAATATTGTGATTTGTGTAATTTGAAGATAATCGGTCTCTTACATACTATTTTATAAGATTTATATTTATTCAAAATTTTGACTCTTTGTGTGGGAGGTACTTGATAAAGTGGACCAAGATATTCAGTCTTCGCACCAGATCTTGGGTTGGTAGATGTATTGGGATATATGAAATTTGAAGACAATCGGAATTTGAATTCATCTTTTATAATAGTAATAATTATATCAAATTTTGAACTTTTGTGGGGGAGGTAAAATAGAGCCACTCCCTATTTTGTCCATTTTCGTAACTGACCTAGCACTGATGCAAATAATAGGCTTTGCAAGGCTGGAGCAAAATTGGATTATCCTTTCTCTTTCTATGCAGTTTTTATACCCTACACCACAAGGTGGTTAGGGTATTATGTCTTTGCGCATTTGTTTGTAACAGGCAGAAGGAAACGATGTAGACCTACAGTTCCTTTTGATGATCAGCAAAGAATCACATTCTGAGTCGATTTATGCATGTCCGTCCATGTATTTTTGTAAACAAAGTACAGTTCGCATTTATTGTCCTATCCAGATGAAATTTTGCACAAAACATTTGTTCGGCCCAAGGACGAAATTGGAGATAATCGGTAAAAATGTAGATATAGCTCCCATATATATCTTCGTCCGATTTGCCTTTTATTGTGCGCCAAACGTGTAATATCAGTCCGAATAGTATGGAATTTTGTACATACAACCAAAACTGGAAAATAAGTATGCCAAATTTAATCGAAATCCGTTCAGATATAGCTATAGCTCCCATATATATTGTTCATCCGATTTGTTATATTTGTCCTCCGCAGCCGTAATATGCACTCTGTAACAACAAATTTTTGGGGAAATATATGAAATACAGCTCAAAAATACATTTGCTAAATTTTATCGAGATCGGTTCAGATTTGGATATACCTCCCATATATAACTTCGTCCGATTTAGCTTTTATTGTGCACCAAACGTCTAATATTTGCCCAAATGGGATGGACTTTGGCACATACGACCGAACTGAGTCTAGAAGGTAGTATGCCAAATTTGGTGAAGATCGGTTCAGATATAACTATAGCTCCCATATATATTATTCATCCGATTTGTTGTATTTGTTACCCACAGCCGTAATATGCACTCCGTAACAACGATATTCAGGGAAATATATGAAATACAGCTCAGAAATATCTTTGCCAAATTTTATCGATATCGATTCTGATTTGGATATAGCTCCCATATATATCTTTATCCGATTTTAAATTAATTGTGCACCAAATGGGCAATACAATTCGGAATTTAAAAGATACAAATGCTTCGGCATATTCAGTCCTTTGAACGTTAAATTATAATTATAATCATAGCTTGTATGATTGAGATCTCCCATAAAAACTTTTAATTTTTAGGCGGAGCTCTACTAAATTAGGGTATCATAAAGTCGGTCCCGCCCGACTTTAAGACTTTCTTTACTGTTTTTTTTTTTTTTTTGAAAAATGTTGTCTTTTGTGTTAGAGGTCCCAGAAGGAGTGGTCTGATTTTGCCCATCTCCGAACTCGTTCCATGTTTGATAATAATATTACGATTTACAAAGCATGTACCAAATCAGGTACTGCCTTCGAGAGTTATCGTGCGCACCAGCCAGCAGACAGACAGACGGACGAACGGACATCTCTAGATCGACTCCAAATGTCCTTAAACGGATTTGGTCCAAAGAGACCTAGGGCCAAAAAAACTTATTTTACATCACAAAAATGGCGGATATTTGGAGTTATCGTTACACGACAAAGTCCATTTCAGAATATGACCTGACTACAGTTGAGAGACGACTCCGTACGAAATCTTAACTTGCTGTCCAAATTCATTTGGAAGCTAGCCTGGTTAAAACCATATCAGCCCGAATCGGATAAATTTTGGCATACAGGGTCATGTTTAGACCTGGATCATGTGTTACAATTTTGGTGAATATCGGATATGAGATTTAGATACAACTCTCATATTCGTAATATGCACTCCACAGCAATGATATTTTGTACCAAATATCATTTGGAGTTTTAACGCGATCAAGTGTATGCTCTTTAAATTTGAACCGTGTAATTATAAATTGTACAATTGTTTGTTTGCTCCTTTTGCATACATATGTATGTCCACAAACAAGAAGTCAAAATAATACTCCCACGAGGGAATGGGGACGGAGACTAAAATGAGTTACCAAATAAAAGACGACCACAGAAACCATCATCTACTCATTACTTTTAAATGAGTTGTGTGCCAAGTTTTCGGCGAATATCGCCATTGTGTTCAGTGCTGGGTTCGCGTGGAATTATAACGGTTGTCGCGCCATCCACAAAGTTAAAAGGATATTCAACTTTAATACAATTTCCAAAAAAAAGGAAGAGAGCAAAAGGTTATGCATACATAGATAACACAATATGTGTTTCCGTACTGCATGACTGTTGAGAGTATCAGCGGAATTACGGCTATTTTAATTTTAGGGATAATTTTGCCTTTGAATGCAAATTTAGTTGGGGTTTTAGTTATTTTTGTGAAAATAGTGAATTAAAGGAGGGATTCGGAGTCTTGTTAAACAATTGTGTCAACTGTATGATTTAACAAGTAAAAAAGCTGTAAGTTCGGCCGGGCCGAACTTTTAATACCCTCCACCATTTGGTACAAATTTGGCAAATTCCAAAAAAAAAAAAAAAAAATAAATAAATAAAATAAAATAAAAGCCGTTAAAAATTCTGTTAAAATCTTAAAAATAACGAATACCGACGACGTAGATAGGCAACTTTTGTCATAAGTTATTACAATATTTAAATGCGAAAAATCTGTTTAAAATGTAGCTGAAATCATCAAAATACCGAATATAGTACCGTTATATGGGAGCTATACGAAGACGTGGACCTGCACAGAAAATTTTCTGGAACGGGCTGAAGTATCCATTATGAACTTCACATGCGAAATTTGAAAAAATCCCATTAAATAATGTCGCTAAAATCATCAAAATACCGAATATCGGAAGGGGAGGTATATGGGGGCTATACGAAGACATGGACCTACATGGCGCATTTTCTGTTTTATGCTGCAGTATCTATTGAGAACTTCAAATACCAAATTTGGAACGATTTAAATAATGTCGCTTAAATCATCAAAATACCGAATATCAGGAGGTACCGTTATTTGGGGGCTAAATGATAACTTGACCTATATGCCCCATTTACGAACTTAACCTGCCTACTGGCAAAATATACATGTGTATACAATTTTAGCCTTCTATCTCAATTTGTTCGAAAGATAGCGTGATTACAACAGACAGATGGACAGACAAACACACAGACAGAATGACATGGCTAAATCGTCTTAGAATTTTACGCTGATCAAGAATATATATACTTTGTTGGGTCTGACATGAGTATTTCGAGGAGTTACAAATGGAATGACAAAATTAATATACCCTCCATAGTATGGTGGAGGGTATAAAAAGGCCATCTCTGACCTGTGTTCCCCAAAAATAAATACCTTTACATTTGTCCCCTTCTTTTATGTCCTGAATTAGTTAAAGCCTACAACATTTGTTATCTTATCTGAACACCTGCCTCCCCTTCTCTCCTGCTAGCTCTTACAATATATTTAATCCCTCCCAATCACCAATTGACCATTATTACCTTTTAATAACATAAAACCACGCCCCTACCCCCTCCCCTATTTTGTCACATCAAAATTGTACTTACGAAATGAATTAGTACCCGAACTGGAAGAACCACGACTAGGACTCTGTCGATGTTTCCAGGGCATTATGCTAGTCAAACTTGAATGATGGGCCGGATGATGGTGGTGATTGCCTGTGCCATTGCTCTGATGAAACTTCTCCGATGACAGCGAGGCCGATTTAAGCAAATGGCCACTGCCGCTGCCCACCAGCGCATGATGATGGTGATGCTGATGGCCGTCGACCACCAGATGATCATTACAATGGAAATCTTTGTGCTGTGTGGGGGGATAGTGCTGATGGAGATGCTGATGTTGACCGTGTAACAGTTTGTTATCTTTAAGGCCACTACTACTGCTGTTGCCGTTGTTGTTCGATATGAGGGTGGTGGCGTTGTTGGTGGTGGTGGTGCCGTTGCAAATCTGTGAATTGTTGCCATGCATTTTGTGATGATGGGGATGTTGATGCAGTAGTGATGAAGATGTCATCGTGTCATAACTGTAATTGTCCATAATGTCGGCAAGATTATTGAAACTACGACTATTATAGGCGGACGATGACCTCAATAGGGAACTGGCTGTTGGTTCAGGCCTACCTTTGCCCGTGGCAGCGGTCGAGCCGGTGTGGAAGATCTGCTGTTGCTGCGGCATGGCGTGATTGTCGTGGTTGGCACACAGCGACGATTGCATGAAATCACGCGAAAAATTCGACCATGATTTCGAGAAACAGCGACAACGTTCGCCGGCACCCAAAGGACGCATTGTGGCATATTGAGTTTGTGGTTGCTGAAAAGGATACTGGGATAAGGATTGCTGTTGCTGCTGCTGTTGCTGTGAGGAGTATAGTGCCAGCTGGCGGGCATAGTCACTGCTCGGTCCTATGGTGTTGTATTTACTAAGGCTCAGCCGGCTGCTGTTCTTGTACTGTTGCAGCTTCTGTTGCAAGTCGCGCTGTGACAGATGGAAATCTGTGGTATGATAAGCGCCCATCATTGACGGCGGCAGCAGCGGCGGTGGTCCCACATTTATGGCTCCCGATGAACTCTTGTGCAGAAAGCACAGCGAGGGATCTGACTTTTGGCTACGGGGTACGATGATGTCATCGTGCACGGGATAGGGCGGGGGATAGTGACCAAATGGAGCGGCAGCAGCCGAACTCTTTGTTACATGACAGACATCGGGTTTACTGTGCGTGGCCAGGGTGGCCAGTGTGGCTGCATGCTGCGGCTTATAGCTTCCGTTTGTCGTTGTACTGGTCGTCGACATGATGTCCGAACTCACAGCATTGGCACACTTCAATATGGAAGTGGTGCAGTCGTCAATCACAGCCCTTACATCGTGAACACTTTTGGCACAGTCGTTCAGTAAATCACCGCTACACAGGGTGGCAATGGACCCACTGCTATGGTTGTTGTTGGCGCTGTTGCTATTGTTGTGGGTATTGTTGTTGTTCGAGTGTTGAAGGTGCTGTGCGTTGTCTTGGGCCGCCATTGTTTGTTTGCCATTACAATGTATGGAGGATGATCTTGGATTTATTTGATGCTGTTGATGTTGTTGTTGCTGCTGTTGTTGATGTTGTTGTTGCTGTTGATGCTGTTGTTGCAGATGTTGCAACAAGCGTAGACTGCGTATGCTACCATTGCGTTTCATGGCCGGTGGCGGAGGTACAGGCGGTATTGTTTCAGCATCGGATGAACTTAATGCATCACTCTGTAATGAAAGTAATCGTAAAAATTGAGATAAGTGTCAAATGAATATTATTTATGAAAATTATTTTTGGTACGTTTTGAAAAAAAAAAACAAGTAAAAAAGCTGTAAGTTCGGCCGGGCCGAACTTTGAATACCCTCCACCATTTGGAACGAATTTGGCAATTCACAAAAACAATTAAATCCGTTAAAAAATCTATTAAAATTTTAATAATACCGAATGTAGCTGTCATATTAGGGTCTATACGACGATAACATAACATTTGTCATAAGCCTTTACAATATTCAAATGCGAGGTACCGTTATATGGGGGCTATAAGAAGACGTGGACCTGCACAGACAATTTTCTATCTTATACTGTAGTATTCATTACGAACTTCAAATACCAAATTTTAAATAATTCCGGTAAAAAAGGTCGGTAAAATCATCAAAATATCGAATATCGAATATCGGGAGGTACCGTTATATGGGGGCCATACGAAGACGTAGACCTGCACAGACAATTTTCTGTCTTAGACTTTAGTATCCATTACGAACTTCAAATACAAAATTTGAAACAATTCCGGTGAATAATGTCGCTAAAATCATCAAAATACCGAATATATGGGGGCTATACCAAAACGTGGACCTACATGGCGCATTTTCAATACCAAAAGTTCTGCAGACATAATATACATTTGGGTAAGATTTTATCAACCTACTTCAATCCATTCGGAAGCTACAGTGATTTCCACGGACAGACGGACGAACATCGTTAAATCGACATAGAATTTTATGCTGATCAATAATATATGGGAGTTTGTGGGGTCTAAAATGTATATTTCGAAGTGGTACAAACGGAATGACAAACTTAATATATCCTCCATACTATGGTGGAGGGTATAAAAACGGATGCTCATTTTGAATTTTGTGAGAGTTATAGGTATTCAAGATGTTGTACCCTTCGTGAGTGGTCCTAATTATACCATCTTCATATCAGAGTTAGTAAAGTTGTTAAAAATATTGGGATATTTAAAATTTAAGGGGAACGGAATGGAAAATCTTTACACTTTTTGGGTACCAGAAAGAGTGGATCGATGTATCCCCTCTCCACATTACTTTGTTGGAAATAATAGGATGCTAAGTTATGTCTACTATGTCGCCTTTTATGAGCTATTGTGGGGGAGGTGCCTTCATACCAGATTTTGGAATATGCAAAATTTAAAGACAATCGGACTCTTGTTTTACATTTTATAAGAGATATAAGTATTCAAAAAAATAACCCTTTTCTAGAAGAAGTGGGTCGATATTGTCCTATTTCATACCTGAGTTCGCACTGATGCATATATGTTTGAATCTACAATTTTTAAATAAAATCCGATTATCTTTTTTTAATCTATGCGGTGTATTATTATTATAAGTATAATTATTATTATTATTATTATTATTATTATTATTATTATTATTATTATTATTATTATTATTATTATTATTATTATTATTATTATTATTATTATTATTATTATTATTATTATTATTATTATTATTATTATTATATTATTATTATTATTATTATTATTATTATTATTATTATTATTATTATTATTATTATTATTATTATTATTTTATACCCTCAGCCATATGGCTAGAGATGGTATACGACCAAAACGTACCTCATCGAAATAACGGCTTTAGACCCTAGGTCTCTTTGGACAAAATCCATTTCAGGACATTTGGATTTAGCGATGTCCGTCTAGCTGGTGCGCACGATAACTCTCGAAGGAAGCATCCGATTTTATTCAAACTTGGTACATCGTATTATTATTGTCAAACTTAGATCGAATTCGGAGATAGGCAATATCGGTCCCAAGAAAATAATGTACTGCACCAAAAGAAAAAGGATAATCCGATTTTGCTCCAACTTTGCGAATATTTGCATCACTGCTAGGTCAGGTGCGAAAATGGACAATATTAGTCCACTCCATCAAGTACCTCCTCAAAAAAGGGTCAACATTTTAAATAAATATAACTTATAAAATGTGATGTAAGTGTCCGATTGTCTTCAAATTACACACAATACAATATTGTTATTAACCCAAGGTCTGGTATGAAGATGCAATATATAGGTCCAATTCTTCTGGCACCACCCCCTCCCCACCAAAGGTTCAAAATTTTGAATATCCGTGAAGATTATAAAACTCGAAGTTAACATCCGATGCTATTCAAACTTGGCACATCTTAATATTTCTATCTACACAAGATCTGTTATAAAGATTATAGAGATCGGACCACTCCTTCTGGACCACCACATAGGGTCAAAGTTTTGGATAACCAAAACGATTATAAAATCCAAATTAAGCATTCTTTTCTCTTCATATTTCATACATTACATAATTTCTATCAATACAAGATCTGCTGTGAAGATAAGATATATCGGTCCACTTTTTCTACTATCTCCCCCACATAGGGTCAAAATTTTGAATATCCACCAAGCTCATAAAACGCGAAACTAACATTCGATTTCATTCAGACTTGGTACATCTTAATACTTCCATCAACACAAGACCTGTCGTAAAGACGGTATAGATCGGACCATTTCATCTGATACCTCCCCCAAATAGGCTTCAAGATTTTGAAAAACAAAACGCCCAAAGAAAGCGAAATAAGTACTCAACTCTCCACAAAGTGTCACAATTTTCAATACTTTTATCTGTCATGACTTGCGAATCAAGACAATTATAAGATCTGGTATAAAAATGGGATATAAGGACAACTTATTATAGTACTCCCATTCAAAATTTCAACAATTTTCAAAGAATATTATAATAATTTAGAAATAAAATATGTTAACTTGTTTTCATTTTTTTTAGTAGTTCATCCTATGCCATTCCAACATCCTAAAGACTTTTTGCATGTATCAAATTAGTTCGTATTTATATTCGAATTTATTGTTCCAATTGTTGCATAAAAATCAAGCGTACCCACATTCATTTTCGAAAAGCCCTTTCGCAGGGATTTAAAAAAAAATCTCTTCAACTATGGTTGGCTGGAAAATACCCCAAAGACTTGCAATAATACCATGTAACATACATATTTTACAACAAGTCTCTCTCTAGTAATACCTGGATAGCTAAAAGCAATAACATATTTTTATTTTCATTCTCATTTCGTGTTTGTTTGCTGTGTTGTTTGTGTTTCCTTAGCCTCTTCTGTGACATCAATGCTGTGACATCGGGAAATCAGGCAACAGCTATTACCAGCATCATCATAATCAGCAGCGCCAGTGACAACGGCAACGACAGTGTCATTACTGTAATTGCTATCATGGCACATAAAAGCGTTATGTTTTTTTTTGTCGCACATACTTACATATGTATGTGTGTATTTACATGGCCATAGATATATATTAATATATAAACATATTCATACATATATATGTATTCGCAATTTTTGTTCTTATTATTTTTACTTTTTTTCTTTGCAGCAGCAAAATCCCTGTGTACTAAAAGGTAAACAAGTGCTTACACACACACACATACATGTGTGCGAGGGTGTGTATTCGCATTCACAGTGTTCTACATGCCCATGTGTACACAAGTATGTGGCACAAGATTTTCAGGCAAACATTTAAAGAAACGAAAGAGAGGAAAAAAACCATGCATGTCCTTCATACCTCATGAGATTTAATGTTAATGTGACAAATTTCTTCATATGCACTCAAAATTGTACTTGAACGCATCGCTGGCTGCTTAATTCGATTTAATTTGTTATTCTGTGCCAAAGTTATAACAACATGGCTTCATGGTATGCATGTTGCCATGCAACTGGGGCAGGTGGGAATTTAAGGAGAATGGCAGGAAGAATAAGAAAAAAAATTAAAATGTATAAATTGGTATTTAAGAAATAATTCAGTAAAGCAATTATTTCCTTGCAATTGCTTTATTCTTAGTTACGTTTTTATACCCTCCACCTTGGAAAGGAGGGTATATTAACTTTGTCATTCCGTTTGCAGCATCCTTAAATATTCTTCGTAGACTCCATAAAGTATATATATTCATAATCAGCATAAAATTCTAAGTCGATTTAACTATGTCCGTCTGTCTGTCTGTTGAAATCACGATACAGCCTACATTATTTAACGTAGAGCGCCAATTTAGCAGACCAATAACGTAGAGCGCCAAAATTTAGCAGACCAATTTTTATTGTGTCTAGGATGGTTGGTATTGAAAATGAGATATATCGGTCCACGTTCTGGTATAGTCCCCATATAACGGTACCTCCCGATATTCGGTATTTTGATGGTTTTTACCACATTTTTTCACTGATTTGTCTTAAAAATGGTATTTGTGGGCCAGAATGGGTCCTAGTTCGTTGTGGCGAGTCATTGTAATTATAGGTCCACGTTTTGGTATAGCCCCCATATAACGGTACCTCCCAATATTCGGCATTTTAATGGTTTTTGCCACATTTCTTCTAATGTTTCCTTTACCCTAAGGTGGAGGGTATTAAAAGTTTGGCCCGGTCGAACTTAATGTTTTTTTACTTGTTATTCCCTTAATACAGGTCTTGAGCGAGGTAGAATGCAAATGGGAGGCAATATGTGTATATCGATAGTTTATGTTAATGGTATATTTTTGACAATTTTTGAGTCGATTTTCGTAATCAAATTACAGGTATTTGTAGAACATTTCATCCTTAACGTCCTTTCGATCCATTTAATAACCTACATCACAGGGTGAGGTTATTACAAGCTAAGAACAACTAAAATGACCCATTATTTCTTTTGGTGATCTCCACAGAATCACATTATTAGTCGATTTATATACCTACATTTATTCCAAGGTACCCTATTGAAATTGGTGATAATCGTTCGAGATTTACATTTAGCTTCTTTATAGATATTCACCCAATACGATGAATTTTAGCGCATGAGGCCTTTAAACAAGAAGTAAGTAAGCCATATACCTACATTCGGTCATATCTGAATATGAGACTCTTCGGCCCAGTGTTTTGAATTATTACAAGGCTCAAAAAACAAAAAAAATATCATTTTATCTTCATACAAAACAATATTTCGGCCTACCATTTCTGGTTCCCACCCCATTGAGGTCAAATTTTTGAATAATTATAATTATCATAAAGTGTGAAATAAGTTTCCGCATATAATTTAACTTGGCACGTCGCAATCAAAAGGTTTTTGTTAAAAAAATTGGTCTAGAAGTATGACAAATTTGGAAAAGATCAGTTCAGATACAGTTATGATTTTCTTTCACCCAAAGCTGTCATATAAATATATTGCAGCCGATTTGAGGTTTAAAATATTTGAAGGCGGTAATATTCTCCCGATGTCATTGATGATGAGTTGGCCTCCACATCAAATTTCAGGACTTCAGCTCTATCCCTTCACCCAATACCAAATTAAGTTCCATTTGGTACTTTTCGAACAATTATAGTACGCATTTTCAAAACAATTTCCATATCTCAAACTCAGATACCAACATTGACCTTAATACCAAATTTCAGAATTTCAGGTCTTTAATTTCACCAATTACGACCCGACGACGCATATTGTGTTGTATTTTGCACTATTCGTACGTTAATAGTACGCATTTCCAAAACCAACTTCTTCTCTCCGCCGTAGACACCAACCGTGACATCCATATCAAATTTCAGGATTTCAGCTCTATTCTTTCACCAAATACTAAATTTAGTACTGTTAAGCAATTTTCTTATACAATTCCAAAACCATTATTTCCAGATACCAGCAGAAACCGCAATATCAAATTTGAGGATTCCAGGAACCCAATAACAAATATAGTACCATTTGGTACTTTTCGTACAAATATAAAACGCATTTTCAGACCACCGCCAAATCTGAATCACAGATACCGTTAGTACCCTAAATATCAAATTTCAGAATTTTATCCCTATTCCTTCACCTAATACAAAATATAGTACCATTCAGTTCTTTTCGTACGTTCATAGAACGCATTCCAAATTTAATTTACCAACAGAGACCTCAATATTGACGATTCCAGTACCATTTACACATCTCCCAAAATCACCTACTTATCTTATTTCCAGATACCAAGAGATACCTCAATATTATATTTCGGGATTCCAGCTCTATCCCTTCACACAATACCCAACTTAGTACCATTTTGTACTTTTCGTACAAACATAGGACGCATTTTCACACCACTGCCAAATATGAAGCACATATACCAAGAGTAATTCAAACATCAAATTTAAGAATTTTATCTCTTTTCGAACAATTATAGGAAACATTGCCAAAACCACCTCCATATGTCCAGGTTACACATGAACAGCGACCCAAACTCAAAAATTCGAATTTTAAACCCTAGCTGTTTACCCAAATTGCACCAAATATAGTACTATTTAGCACTTTTCGTGCCATTTTAGTACGAATTTTCATAGACGCAGTCTTATCACACGCCTACGCACCTAGACTGGTTCTCATGCAAAACGAGCTGAAGACAGTATTTATGGAGGAGTTGAAGGGAGTCTTCACAATCGGACGAGCTAAAAGTGGTCTATATTTGGAGTCCCTATTGAAGAGCCGAGGTCACAGTTTCTAGACGAGCTGTAAGGTTGGGGGAAAAATTGCTCCCCAGCAAATACCACATATAGGCAATGCAGCAATCAGCCTCCGTGAAGTCTATACAGCATGTATTATTGCTTCTTTTCATTATTTTCAATTTATTAGTTGCCGAGCCCTGGTATAGAGTCATTAACACAAAATCATGAACTATTTTTTCAAAATTTATTTTAAGTTACATCTGAATATATCTCAAAGCGCTTTAGCTAATTCTTCTAGTTGGTGGTCTGAAGTACTAAAACACAATGGGACAAAATATTTTTTTTCCATAATTACAGGTAAACCCAATATATTCTGAAAAAAGAGCTAAAAATAGAAGATTCGTATACTTTTTTCACATTTTTTCGGATTAAGATTCTTTGGATACATTCATTTTAGGTATACAGTGTGTCTATCAAGTCAGCAGAAGGGTCTTTTTAAACCGTTAGACATGTGGCTAGATGGGGTACACATATATACTTTGATACGGCCAAAAACTTGTCTCATCGAAATAACGGTACCAGATCCGAGGTCTCTTGGTCCAAAGACCAAGGTCATTTGGAGTCGATCTAGCGATGTCCGACTCCTTCTGGTACCTCCCCCACAATAGGTCGAAATTAAAAAAAAAGAAAAAAAAATATTTTACTTCACTGAAACAGAAATGATAATCCGATTTTGATCCAACTTTGCAAATCCTTATATTTGCATCAGTCCTAGGTCAGTTGCCAAAATGGACAATATCGGGCCACTTCATTAAGTACCTCCCCACAAAGGGTCAAATAATTATAGCTCTTATTAAGTGTGATGTAAGAATCCGATTGTCTTAAAATTACACGCATCACAATATTTCTATACACCCAAGTGAAGATGGATATATCGGTCCACTCCTTCTGGTATCTTCCCCGAAGGGTAAAAATTTTGAATATCCTTGAAGCTCATAAAACGCGAAAATAACGTCTGATTCCATTCGGACGTGGTACACATCAATGTTTCCATCAACACAAGATCTGTTATAAAGTTGGTATAGTTCAGAACATTTCTTCTGGTACCTCCTCCTCAAGATTTTGAAAAAGAAAACGTTCAAAGAAAGCAAAAAAAAAAAAAAAAAAAAAAAAAAATCGACTCTCGTCAAAGGTCTGTTGTGAAGATTATATATGTCTGCATGCCCTTCTGGTACCTCACAGACAAATGGTCACAATTTTCAAACCTTTATAGTTATGGCGAAAAAAAGGCAGGCAACTTGCTATATCTAAATATTTCTCTCAATCTGAGATGAATATGGAATTTATGATTTCCCATAAAATTGAATATAAATGTTCGATTTTCTTGTAATTTGCCCATACCAATATTTTATCTGTATTTAATTTAAATTGGAATACTTCAGTCGTAACTAACGCACATTTTAACATTTTCTAAAAATTATCACAAGTCTCATATAAAGTGAAGGAAGTAACCAATATAGTCCAAATCTGGCACGTCGCAATATATTTTTATCATATTAATTTAGGTACTATACGAAATGGACAATATTGGCTCATTCCTTCGGAACCTACACCTTAGAGGGTCAAACAGTTGAATAATCATAGTAGAATTCAAAATATATTTCAATAATCGAACATAATTCAAAAAAAAAAAAAAAAAAAATAATAATAATAAATAAATAAATGATTGGAAATTACTTACTTTTTCCACCCGATTTCAAAATAATTT